AAGATAAAATGTCCTCAAACTAACTCAGACTAGCTTGACAGGTTAAGAAGGGGGGTTAGAGTAGGGGTGTTGCTGGTTCTTTCCGTTTTAACCCAGAAAGACTGGAACACCCAAGTATCCAAATAAATGAATGCCATGAGAAAAAGATCACACTGTGGAGTTTGGAGTGGGAAAGAAAAGACAATCAAAAGCAAAATATTCCAAATTCAACGAAACTATTTCAGTGTTGCTTTATTTAGTAAGGTGCTAAAGTTCAGAGATCCAATTTCTGCTTCGTATATGCTGCCTAATAAAGCGCAAACGGGGGGAATAAAACCAACCAATATAATGAGACTTGCTTTTAACACCATCACAACTGGAAAGCTTGCACTATTTGTCTTGTCAGCTTTAATAAAAGGCATCTCCTCTGGCAGGATGGCTTCTTTTTCTCTTTTCCTAATAGTGGTAAGTGGCATGTCAAAGAAGAAATCGCTCCCCATTCCACCACCCACCTCCAGGAGACCCTTGTTTTTTGAACCAAACTTTCAGTAATATCTGCACTCCTGTTCAGCGGTGCATTTAGGACTCGGGCTACCTGAGTAAGACTATCCTGGATTAGCAGGATTGGGGGAACTCCCTTTCGATTCTGTTACCCGCGGACTGCGAGTGGGGAAATCTTCCCATCTTCATTACTGACATTACTCAAGCAGGGAATCCCTCTCTTGCCTTCATGCCGAGGGGAGGCTGGAGGCAGGCGGAGAGAGCCTGCCGGAAAAATTAGAGGTAACCACCGACCCCCTCTCTCCTGGAACTTGGGGCGCGCAGCAACTCTAGGCTAACCCCTTGGCCTCCCACCTCTCTCTTCCCAACTTCCTCTCCAGCCCAGGGGAAAACCTGTGATTTTAATAAATAGTACCTAGGAGGGCACTGTGATCAGGACACAGCTGGAAGCTGGCCTCTGTCCCGGAGAAAGCATTGCTGTATGCGCCCAGCGGGGTCGACTTCTGTGTACAGGCCGGGAAACAATAAAGGTTCGGAACTGCTCCACACCTGGAGGATCCCGCCGGGCACTCTGGATAACCTTCCCACTCCACTTTCAGGGTCCGAAAACACGGGACGTCTGCGGCTGGCTGGTGTCCAGCACGCGCGCTAGGATGGCCCCAGGCGCCCACCTCTGGTCTCCCGCGTACCCGGCGGGCTTCGGGGACGCCAGCAAAACAGTTCCAGGTAACCGCGCGTTCCTCCGGCTGCACATCGCCAGGCCATAGCAAAGGGCTCCCACCTCCTGGTTGGGCCAACTCTGGCAGCTTGTTCCGCACACATGACGTAACCCGGTATTAGATCAAACTTTCTGGCACCTTGAACCCACTGGGGTGGGTGGAGGGATGGAGAATGTGGAAGAATCCTCTCCACTGCCAAGCGCGCCGGGCCCAGACTGACTCAGGGGCCGAATGATTTCCTCACACTTGAAGAGGAAAATAAAAGCCTAAAGCTTCCGCTTCCCAGCCCCCCTCACTTCCCCTAGCCCGTGCGCTCACTCTGCGCACACCGGGAAAAGAGAAGGAAAATTTTAAATTAAAAAAAAAATAAAAAACTTTGGGGGATGTTTGGCGGGTTCTCTGCGCAGTCCCTGCGGACCCACGTTCCAGGCAGGAGCTCCGAGCGGCGCACACGGGGCACTCCCCGCGCTGGGATCCGGATGCCCGCCAGCCTGCCGGGGCTGTGAAGCGAAGTCCCGACTCCCCAGCTCCCGCCCTTTTCCGAGTGTCCCCACGCTTGGCCGAAGCAGTTGGTCTGGGCAGCCCCAGGGACTCCCATGGGCACCTGGCCTTAACAAAGAGGGGCGCGACGCGAGCGCTTCCCGCCGACACCTCAAGCCATCAGCGCCCAGGCGACGCAGGCTCTGAGGGCGCGCGCAGCCCGTGGCTGGTGCGCGCCGTTCCCCGCCGCCGCTCCTTCCGCAGGGCCCCGAGGCCCGGCTAGCCCCGGCTCTCCGCCCCTTACTGGCTTACCTGGGGTTGCTGCTGTTCCAGTAGACAGCGTAGCGGTCGGCGACGGCCTTGGAGCCCGGGTCCTGGCTGAACACACACATCCAGAGCACCAGAAACACCAGCGTCAACATCTCCACGTGCAACATCACGCCTGGCCAGCGGCGGAGCCCCCGACGCGCCACTCCGGGGAGAGAGCGGGGATCCGTAGGGAGGGAAGAAAGGGACAGAGAGAAAGCGGTCGCCAAATAAATATGAATAAATAAAAATGAAGGTGGGCGAAAAAAGAAAGAGGCGCCCACCAAGCTGGGGAGAGGTAGGAGACCGAGAAGAAAAGGCAGTGGGGTAGGGGGAATAAAGACAAACTCGCACCCCCACTGGAGGGTTCAGGAGGAAAAAGGAATCACAAGATGGAGAGAAGCGTGCGTGTGTGTGGTGGCGGCGGCGAGGGCGGGGGAAGGGGTGCCAAGCTGTGTCTCGGGCGGCGGCGGCAGGCCGGTCACCCCGGGAGAGGGAGGTGCGCGCCGGGCCGGGCGGCTGCAGCGCGGGTCGGGGCAGGCGGCGGCGCGCGCTGCACAGTCACCGGGAGTTGCGCGCCGCAGCCGCGGGGAGACATACACCGGCCCGCCGGGCCCGGCTCAGCGTCGGCGCTGCGGACTACACACGGCTCCGCCGCCGCCTGGGGCCCTCGCACTGCGCCCCGCTTCGCTTCAAGTTACTTTGGCGGCCGGTGGGAAACTGCAGGAAGGCGACGTGCAGATGGGGGCTGCGCGCTGTGATCCCGGGAGTCTGAGAGCCCCTTTCCCCAGCCTCCTCTGTGCGTCAGCCGGGCGACCCCCGGAAATCTCAGAGGAGTCGTAGGTGCTGCGGTACCGGGCGGTGCGCTGAGAAGGGTGGGGATCCGGAGCCGCAAACCCAGCTCTGCCGATGTCCTGGAACTGGTTACGCGGCAGCTGCGCCGGCGAGAAGCGGTCTTGCCTCGAAAACCTCAAAGAAAAGTTTGGTTCTTCACGTCTGCAGCAGGTCCCTCGGCGGAGTCGGACCGCGGCGGTAGCAGAAGAGGGCACCCCGGGTGCCGGCAGAGCCTCGGGGATTTCTCGCGCGTGCTTTCTTTGACTGGATGTGGGTGCACCAGAGTGAATGAAGAGCAGAGGTTAAGAACCAGCCGGCCTGGCGGAGCTGGGATGCCCAAACCTGCAAGACGACGCCAACCCCACTGTTCGGCTGGAGAGCGGGAGGGGAAACAATCACTTTCAAATGGATCCCTCCAACTCCTGGATGGGCTGATGTCAGTCTCTGATCGCCTTCCGGAAGGGAGACTGAGCCCCCACACGCGCTGCCAAGAGCGGGGGGTGAGCTCTCAGAAGTGTCCCTGCGACTCCGGAGGGTCCAAGCCCAGCAACTTGTAGAGATGCATCAATCAGTTTGAAATGTGAAAAGAAAAAAGAGAGCGAGAGAAAGAGAGCGCACAAGCGAGTGGCACCTCCCCGATGACTACATCAGAAAACCTTCCCGATCCTCCCGCAGCTGCTCCTCTCTCCCTCCTTAGACACAGCAGCAACAGAGGTGAAAACCACCAACCGAATCCTAAAACCCCTACCCAGGCGGGAAAATAAATAAACTTGAGTGCAGCAGCAGCAGCACGAGCAGCCCTGGAGGGATTGAAACGACTGGCAAGAAGTGGAAAGGGTTTTGTAAAAGTCAGTTTTGCAAAAGAGGGGGGAAAAAAAGGAGAGAAAAAATGCTTTATGGGAAAAATCTCCTCGGGCACGCCCCCTCGTTAATGACTTGCGTGTAAAGCCGACAGCGGCGGCGACCCAGCAGCAGCAGCCTCAGGAGAGCGCGAGGCCGCGCGCGTGAACGTGGACGTGGGCGGGGGCTAGGGCTCCGCCCGGGCGTGTTGCGCGGGGCGCGGGGCTGGCAGGCGGGCGGCGCGAGTGCGGGTGTGAGCTCCGGACCGAGCAGGGGGAGGCGCCGCCAGCCCGGGCCCAGCCGGCGCTGCTGCCGCGGCGGCCCGGGTCATGTGGACTGCCTTCCTTTTTTTTTTTTTTTTTTTTTTCCTTCCATGCAGTTTACTTGGGAAAGGTGGGGTGGGGGCAGCTGGAGCAGCCAGTCAGGGAACAGCCTGCTGTTTGCTCACAGATTGGGGGTTTTTCCTCTCTTTACTCCAACCGGATTGGTTTGCTCCACGAGAAAGAGGCGTTTTCCTAATCTCCTCCCTTCCCCACGCCTCCTACCCCTTCCCCCCGCCCCACCTTCCAGAAACCTGACTAATTGAATTACTGGGAGTGCCGAGGCGCCCTCTCCTGCGCCCGAGCCCAGCAGCCACGTGTAACCCTTTGGGTGCTGAATTCCGTCTGGGTAAAGAAATAATTTGACATCTTTTTACCTGGGAGTAGGGTCTTTCGATTTTAAAGGAACCGGTGCCCACCCTTTGGCTGGAGAGCCGGCATCTGTCTCTGGGGCCACTCAGGTGGCGAATGGGCTGGAACGGAGCCTCAGGGAGTGCGCGTTCCTGTCAATCTCCCTCCGCTCCCTGAGCCGCACGCTGTCGGGCGCTGGGTGAACTGGAAATCTGAGAACCCCCTCCTGTGCCTTTCAGCCCTCCTCTCCCCGCTTGGAATTTAAAGATTGTTGGGCAGGAAGCAAGTTTTCTTTAAAGTGATGCTCTGAAAACACGTTTTTAAAAATCAGGCAAATCACAGTTTAAAGTGATTACAATTCAGTGCGAACCTTCCACAGAGAGGAAATGAATGCGGCAGACGAGCCCTTCAGAAATACCTCACACCTCTTCCATTTCAACCTGGTGGGTGATTTGCCGCCCACTCCCCAAAGAATAAACGCCTTTAACGAACCTGGTGCGGAAAGAAACTGGGGCCGGGGGCGGGGGATGAGAGAGGGAAAGCAGTTCCTTTATTGTTGGAAAAGGCCCCTCGGTCCTGAACTTCAAGGGCAGGTTTGCACTCCTGGGTCTTCAGACGCCACCGAAGCGCGATCTCCTGGCAGCGAGACTGTCCCAGCGCCTCGGAATGCGTCCCCTGTGGTCCAGCGCCCGGGGAGCGAGCCCAACGCCTGCCCTGCGGGGCCACAGGCCCCCGAGACCCGCCCTTGCGGGGTCTGCGGGCTCAGGAGCAGCGGTATTTTTCTCATGTTCTCTAGGGAGTTTGCTGCATTAGTGGGAAGGGCAGATCCCCAAGAGAAAAAAAGGCAGTTTAGTTTTGCTCCCACACCTGCCAGCTCTCCTTTTTACTTATTAGCCCAATAAAATCTAATCTCACGTTCTGCCTCCTGCGCCTTCCATTCTTCAGACTTGAGATTTCCAGGCGCTTCAGAGCTGTTTGGAAGCGTCCAGACGCCCTCCAGTGGTGGGCCTGCAGTCCGCACCCAGCAGGGGCATTGCCTGCAGCTCAGGCCGGATCGAATTTGATGGAAAATCTAGGGCTACGACCAATAAAGACTTGAGAGGAAAAGAAACAGTTCATAGAGGCACGGAGTTACCAAGATGTTATAGGCTCTTGGCTAAAAGTTGGGTCGTTTTTCAATTACAGTAATATTTCCTATCTGAAGAGATCCCGAAATCGTCCTAGGAAAGTAACTTACGTTTTGTGACTAGATAACAAATTGCAATCTGTACAATAATGGACTCTACCACAAACCAACCATCTGCCTAATTATTAAAAATTGAAATTCAGAATGTCGACACAAATGCTCCTGCGTCATCTGTATGTTTCACAAAGTTCCAGCAGTGAGAAAAAAATGGGAAAAGTTAAGTAAGAGAACCAACGGATAAGCTTTTATTTTTCAAACCAAATTTTCAGTTAAAATGTTATTTACTTTTTTCGCTGGTCTGTAATCTTGCTGATGTTCAAGTTCTTGGCTCATTTTAGGGTGTGTCTGTTTTTTCTGGTGCAGGAAAGATGGATTTCTTTCCTTAGCTTTTCTGATAGTGGCTCTAATAGGTGCTCGTATGACAGACGCAGTTTTGCAGGAAATATTCTGGACGCTTTTAAGAGATATGTGTATCTTTAGAAAAAAAAATCATGACTCCTGTCTTGGGTAAAATGCTGATCCTCACTGAAGAGTCTTTTTAGTCAGGAAACTATCAGGTAACAGGGAGCTAGCAAGCTGGCTTCCTGTGGCATTAAAGCCAAAAAAAGGTGAAGAAAAAGAAACGGTATCCGCTCATTTCCCATTTGAAATACATACAACCAAATGGGAAAAATCAAGGCATCGGAAAAATATGGATGTCCTAATATTTTAAATATCTCTTGTTCAAAGTTTGAATAGTCCCATATTAAACAGAAAAACAAAAAAAGCATACATTGTGGTCTTCCTTAAAGTGATTCATAGGATTGGAATAACATGTTGAAATTTGCAGCTGTTCATAACATAACTCGAATGTCTACATGAAACAATTCATAAACCTAAATCAAATTATTCTGGAATTATGTGCCTAAGTCATTATTGGTATTGAAATTACTAGGCGGCTGGATGATAGATATAGTAAGTCCTTACTTAATGTCAGGGATAGGTTCTTGGAAATTGTGGCTTTAAACGAAGTGGCATATATAAGGAAACCTATTTCACCATAGGCTACTTGATATAAACAAGAGTTAAATTCTTGTGCATATCTCAGTCACAAAAACATCACCAAACTTCCAGATAAAGGCCAAAACATTTCTAATGTTAAACTTTGAAATAAATGTGAGCTAGACATACACTTGAGAAAGATTGATAAAAACAAGTAAAATCATCTAACCAATTTTTCCAGTTCAGGATTGCGGGTGGCCAGAGCTCAGGGCTCAAGGAGGGAAGTAACCCTGGACAGGATCCCGGGGTGCACTAACACTCACACCCACACTCACTCATACTGGGAATATTTAGACATGTGCACAGCTTACACACCACCTAGCAAGCACAGCTGTGGGATGTGGGAGGAAACCAGAGTACCTGGAGAAAACCCACACGGACCATGGGGAGAATGTGCAAACTCCACACGGACAGCGGCCATGGCCTGGAATAGATTTTTTTTCTCATCACTATTATGACAGAGTGACGTTGAACCAAACGGCGTTGAGGACCTGCTGTACTTGAATAGACTTTGAAGGGCCAGATTATTAACTGTACACTTATGTTAGATAATGTGACTTTGTCTCTTCAGGGAAATATTCATGTGATTTAAATTTATACAAATCAGCATTATATGAAATGATTTTATTATAATTCTCCCAGTGTCACAGAAGCAATGACTTTTAAATGCCTTTAAATGACCATTAGAATACAAGTATTTTGCCAGGTATAGAAGCAGATGAATGTATAACAGAAAGAAAACAGCAAGAACCTAACAACATGGAGTCAAAAAAAAAATGCAGAGAGTGTTCGAATGCTTTGAGTTTGACAAGACAGTGTTATAGGGAGCTGAGACCTGAAAAAACAGGTTGGTAATGGACTATAAAAGGGCTTATCTGCAATTCTAAGAATGTTTCCATTTAAAGCTATAGGCCACTGGGTGCATTGGTGGTTTTAAAGCAAGTACCATTGAAGAAACAATTTATATGCCTCAAAACACAAATAGGAATTTAGGTATTTAATTTTTTGAACTACCTTGATCAGTGTTCTAAACTTGGCTACAAATGAGAATCACCTACAGAGCATTAAGAAAAACAAACAACAAAACACACACACGCGCGCGCACACACACACACACACACACACACACACACACACACACACAATCCCAGGGCTCCACTCCCTGTTTTAGTTGGTTATAACGGAGGGGGACTTGGGATCTACAATTCTTAAAAGCTCTCCAGGGAATACTAATGAGCATAGAGGATTAAGAACCACTGATCCAGGTAATTTGTTTTTACTTAACTACTTTAATATTTCAGGCAAAAGTAAGTTCTGCGCTTATTTATCCGGAGAACTAGCCCAACTCACAATTAGGCCAGAATATTGAAACTTTAGACAATTTCATGATCTCTACTAATGTGAAGTGATACTGATACTTTTAAATAATTTTTATGTGGCACAAAATTATATGTGAGTGCCATCTCCAAGATGTGGTTGCAGGGCAAAGCTTAAATATGGATTAATCTTCTTTCTTAGACTAGTTTTTAATTTGAATTAGCTGCCACCAGGTAGAATTAGAGTTCTGTTTCCTCAGGTGTCTGGACAAATAAATGAAATAAGCTGGCAAATCAAATTCCTCAGTCCATAGACTAAACAACTCTTAATATGGCAGATAAATTAGAACTAGTATCTAGAAGAGATAATAAAGGAAATAAACTGGAGAACAACAATTAAATAAATAATAATTAAACATAAAGCTTTCTAACAGAAGACTAACATAATGGTATTTAAGCTAACCCTGCTATTTTCCTAGAACATTTAGAATAAATCCTGAAGCTCCAAGAAGCTCGGATCCCATCACCAAAATGTGACTCAGCTGTCCTGCCCACAGACTGAAGTTGCCAATAAAGCACTCTCCCCTCCCTACCTTTTTTTATAACAAGTTCCTAAGAATCTTCAGAAATAACTCTTTGCTGGCTTTTCTCTCCTCAGAGACTTTAAGAAAAGCTCCTTTTCTATTCCTGATCTAGTTATCTCTTCTGTGTACAATCTGAAAAAAAAAAAAATCTGTAGAGTACCACATCTCTCCTTTCAGTCCTGTGACCTTCAACTTCCGTCATGAATTTTCTCCCTTTTCCTCATTCTCCCTTTCCTTTTCTGGGATTTGCTGAAGTTCATTTCCTTAAATCTACAGAGAAACAGAAGCAGTTTAGCAAGTTGCTGCAATATCCTGAAAGAGGCATTTAAAAATGCTTTCATTTATGAACTTAGTCTATTTGTTGTTTTGCTCATTTTAAAACATATTTTAAATAAAACCAACATAGCAAATTTCTTAAACACACAGAACTTTCATCAGTCGTTTTGGTAAACAACATAAACCATATAATTAGTCACATATGTAAATATATGTTATGTTTCCATGTATTACAAATGCATATGTGCTCATATGTAATTTTTTTAAAAAAGCAAGCAAGGACTGGTTGATGTAACCAATTTCCACATCACTTTTCATTATCTAGATTTCAGGATATATACCATACGTACAGTTAGGTGACCAGTTTTCAACCATAAAGCTTAAATTGGTAAGTAATTTTATTCCCATAAGCCATTTTCAGGTTGTCTTTTACTATCAAAATGTGTATATACATTCTACTTCTCTGTATTTCCCTTTTCAGATTTTTTAATTAAAATTACCAAATAAAGTTTATCTGTATTTTACAAATCTAAAAGATCCATCAGAATAAAGTACATTGTCCTGGTTGAGTGTGGTGGCTCAAGCCTGTAATCCCAGCACCTTGGGAAGCCGAGGATCACTTGAAGCCAGAAGTTCAAGACCAGTTGGGGCAACATAGCGAGACTTTGTCTCAGAAAATATTCTTAAAATTAGCCAGGTGTTGGCATCGTGATGGACTCCGGTGATGGGGTCACCCACATTGTGCGCATCTATTAGGGGTATGCCCTCCCCCACACCATCCTGCATCTGGACCTGGCTGGCTGGGACCTTACCACCTCATGAAGATCCTCACCAAGCTACTGCTTCACCACCATGGCTAGCGGGAAACTGTGTGTGACGTCAAGGAGAAGCTATGCTACCTTGCCCTGTACTTCGAGCAGAAGATGGCCATGGCAGCCTCCGGTTCCTCCCTGGAGAAGAGCTATGAGCTGCCCCACGGCCAGGTTATCACCATCCGCAACAAGCAGTTCCGCTGCCCTGAGGCACTCTTCCAGCCTTCCTTCCTAGGCATGGAATCTTGTGAATCTCTGCATCCACGAAACTACCTTCAACTCCATCTTGAAGTATGATGTGGACATCTGCAACGACCTGTACGCCAACACAGTGCTGTTTGGTGGTACCATCATATACCCTGGCATCACCGAAATGATGCAAAAGGAGATCACCGCCCTGGTGCCCAGCACAATGAAGATCAAGATCATTGCTCCTCCGAGCGCAAGTACTCTGTGTAGATGGGCGGCTTCATCCTGGCCTGGCTGTCCCCCTTCTGGTAGATGTGGATCAGCAAGCAGGAGTACCACGAGTCCAGCCCCTCCGTCATCTACTGCAAATGCTTCTAGGCGGACTGTGATTTAGTTGCATTACACCCTTTCTTGACAAAACCTAACCTGCGAAGAAAACAAGATGAGATTGGCATGGCTTTATTTGCTTTTTTGTTGTTTTGGGTTTTTTTGTTTTTTGTTTTTGGCTTGACTCAGGATTTAAAAACTGGAACGGTAAAGGTGACAGTAGTCAGTTGGAGCAAGCATCCCCCAGAGTTCTATAATGTGGCCCAGGACTTTGATTGTACACTGTTCTTTTTTAAAATAGTCATTCCAAATATCGTGAGATGCATTGTTACAGGAAGTCCCTTGCCCTTCCAAAAGCCACCCCTCTTCTCTCTAAGGAGAATGGCCCAGTCCTCTCCCAAGGCCACACAGAGGAGGTAATAGCATCACTTTTGTGTAAATTATGTAATGAAAAATTTTTAAAATTATGCCTTAATACTTTATTTTATTTAATCTTTTATTTGGAAAGATTTTAGCCTCTGTGGCTACCCCTTTTTTGTCCCTCAACTTGAGATGTATGAAGGCTTTTGGTTTCCCTGGGAGTGGGTGGAGGCAGCCAGGGCTTACCTGTACACTGACTTGAATAGTTGAATAAAAGTGAACACTAGTTGAATAAAAGTACATACCTTAAAAATGAAAAAAAAAAAAAATAGCCAGGTGTTGGTGGCACATACTTGTACTGCCAGCCACTCAGCTGAGGTGGGAGGATCTCTAGAGCCCAGGCATTCAAGGCTGCAGTGAGTTATGGTCACACCACTCCAGCCTGTATGACACAGGAAGGCCCTGTCTCTAAAAAATGAAAATATATACATTATGTTTTAAAAAATATACTCTCCTGAATTGTTCTTTGCAAATTCTTAAATAGCATACTATATTCCTTGCTTAAAATAATACATATTACCATGAATGTATATTAACAAAGAAAATAAATGTTTGTACTTATGTTTTATTATAATGATAATCATAGACATCTACAGCATTACTTATTTTTAGAGAAGGATTCTAAATAGAATATTCAGAAACAAAGTTAATTTGTACTTTTTTTCTGCAATCAAACTAATAATTAGGATATGTTTTTCCCAACAGGGAAAAAAAAAAAAAAAGCACGTAACTATGTATTTTTGTATTCTTTTGCTTGCCTAGAACCTTCCAAAGGCTAATAATATTTTTTTAAATTTTGTTGATACACACACACAGCACATCTGTAATGAGCATATAGACAGAGAGACAGCATACGATAGAGAAAGAACTTATTTTTCAATCAATTTTCACCAAATATTTTCATCAACTTCTGTGGGAATTCTACTTGAAGATGAATAGAGGATATAACCTTAGTCAGTAAGCATGATCAGATGAGATAGGAAATGCTGTTTCTACGCCCCGGTTTTAGCTTTGGCTTTACTTTTTTCCTCCCTCCAGATCTAAACTGGCTAAGCAAAGTGAAGTGTAGAATTATGGCAAACTAAGATCTTGTTTCCTCATATTATGTGTATTTTTTTTTAGATAAAAGACTTATTTAGGGGGATTTTGATGTTAGTTTTTGAGTCTGGGAAAAATTGCTCTCCTACTGCAGATTTATAACTCTAGTCTGAGACTTCTAAATGCCTTATGCCAAAATTGTAAATTTTATTGTGATGCTGGTAAGTTACAGTTTAAGGTATAATTTTTTTAAAAGCATTTCATCTTGTAGTTTGGGATAATAGTTTTAGAGCTAGTCTCTATAGAAACCATTTTAACTTATGATCTTAGAACGTCAGGTAATAATGCAGAGGATTATTGGCCAAAACTTTTTTTAAATGAGAAATATTTTACTGAATTGACTCTTTCTAAACTCAAGTCTGGAGAGGAACATGTGCTCTTAAGATGACTACCTTTTAATCAGAGATTATCACTTTCCATTTCCATTAGTCTCTCTTTTTTTGGCATGTGATGTATGCTAAATTAAATAGGATTTATTGGTTCAGCTAGATTCTGAATTACCCTCTTTTCCTGTGGATTAGGAGAGAGCATTTTTAGCCCTTTTCCTTGAAATCCATCAGGATCTTTTATGTGGACTATCTAGTATTCTGCACGCTTCCAATGCTTAATAAATATTACATTACAATATTAGCATAATAATAAATCATCTTAAAGTTCTACGTGGGCTATTGAGATCCCATTCAGTTTGCGCCAAGACATCAAAAAGTTTTATTTTCTCTATATGCATGCAAAATAATTTAAAACTTCCCCTTCCATGAAATGTCCTTGCATCCATAAGTCTACATGTTACATAGTGAAGTGGTAAAGTGTGTATCATCTTCCAGTTACGCTTTTAACTTGTTTGATATATTCTGGGCCTGAATTTGCCATTTTAATAAGAGACAGTTTAAAATTGGGCAGACAAAATGGAAATAGCACCATTTGTCAAGTAAATGTTATTTTCCCAATGGCAATTCTGAAATTTTTATACAAGATTACCAGGCCAGCAGCTAGATAGTGTTTCTTGCCATTAAGAAGTTCTGCTTTGTCTATGATCGGTCATGTCACACAGACCTAGAGTAACAGCCACTGAAAACATGAGAATTTTCCTTAGAGTTACAGAAACAAAAATGAAGTAGAAAATGATTTCATTAACACAATTTCATCCTCACTGGTTGCTTTAAGGAAGGTCCTAGTTTGAAACTGCCATCAAGGAAAGGAATAAAAATATTTTCCTTCCAAAGGTAGTGTTCAAATATTGTACATTTTATCTACCTATATATAAAAATGATGGATTATCTGTGGTAGATAGCAAAAATGGCCAAAATCACCTCCTTACAGTGTAATTTTGCAGTTAGTCCCCCTCCCTATCAATAGATAGCGTTGTGTTTTTTTACCCTTTAAATTCTGAACTGATGTTGTGACTTGCGTTGGCTAACAGAATGTGGCAAAAGCAATGCTGTACCAATTTTGAGCCATGCCTCAAGTAGTCTTCAAGCATTCCTCTAGGAATGCTGTCCAGTTGCCATGCAGACAAGCCTGCCATTAGGCTTGTCTGCAGGTGGCTGCCTATAGAAAGATGCATGAAGAAGCCCAGTTGAGACTAGAAGAACTGTGGCCCAAAGCCCAGCCTAAACAGTCAATGGTTCTTGTAAGTCCTTACATTTTGAGGTGGTTTGTTGTACAGCAACAAATAACAAATTCATTTTCTTCTTACATTATTGAAAATAAAACTTTGAATATTATTTAGCTCAAATTTTGTTATCCTTTTTATTACTGAATTACTTTGTGTTAAATTTGTAATTGGTAATCACAACTTTCCAAATATGTCTAACAGAAATGTTTGTTTCTGCTACTTTATAAATTCCATAGGGAGACTTTGTCTTCAACACAAGCCTTACATGGAACCCTAAATGAATACAATTAACATTCAGGCTTTTCTGATCCTCTTTGGATAATGTCATTTGGTTAGAATAGCAAACCTGAGCAGATGATTTATCCAGAGGTGATTCTTTTTCTAAAGTGGTGTCCAGCAAGAAAAATGAAATGGTAAAATCCAAGGAAGCTATGTTTAGCTTCAACTCAAATCTCCGCATCACTCACTACTATTGATTTAACATCATGGCACCTCCATATTTCAGCAGGAGGATCTGCCACAAGACAGAAACTATAGTGACCCTGTAAGGGTCATCTTGCTGTCAACTTCAAATTATAACATCTCTGCTCTTGGCTGTCAGCCATGGCAGGCCCAGGAAGGTACAGCTCTCTTTCTGTAGATGGAATAGATGTATTTCAAGGAAGTGAGATATAAAGGGAAATATGTGTCAAATCTCATCTTCCTGTAAAGTTCTAAAATGGGAGGAAGGTTTTGTCAGTGTCCCTTACGTGCAGTCCCCAGGTCTGTTTACTACTAGCCCAGGTTTACTCATCCAAGTTTCTAACATGTGCCACCTAGGGTGGAGGCTAATCCACAAACTCCAAGTCATCATTTCAGCTTTCACTGCATTTTCTTCCTCAGCAGCAACTGAACCATTGGCTACCCTCCCTTCTTCCTTTGGAGTGTGTTACTTCACACTTGCAGAGTTCTGTTTTTATCCCCAACTGCTTTTTTCCACCACTTCATCTGTCACTCACAGCCCAGGTACAGGCACATAGTATACAATAATTATTTGTGAAATGAATAAATACATAGTACCCATTCCTTAAATATAGGTGTTTTTCTTTAGACTCCTTTACCAACATGATCTTCTTTAACAATTCCAACCACAGTTACAGCTCCAATTATGGGTTTTTGCGTGTGTGTGGCTGTCTCCCAACCTCGGCTCTAGGAGTTACTGCCTGCCACTATCAGGACCATCTCCCCTGCCTCCACCTCCTGGGTTCAAGTGATTCTCCTGCCTCAGTCTCCCCAGTAGCTGGGATTACAGGTGTCCACCACCACTCCTGGCTAATTTTTTATAGTTTTAGTAGAGATGGGGTTTCACTATGTTTGCCAGGCTGGTCTCAAACTCCTAACCTGGTGATCTGCCCTCCTAGGCCTCCCAAAGTGCTGGGATTACAGGTATGAGCCACTGCACTCGGCTCTGGTTGAGTTTTCCCCATCACTGTACTGATACCTCAAAGACAGCAAGTCCCAAAACTGCATCTATTCATTCAACAGACCTAGCTGCCCTGCTCTGGGCACCCCTGCTCTCCAGCATGGCAAGATCAGAATAAAATCCCCCACCAGTTCCCAAATGAGAACTTCTAGCTGACAGGCCTGATAAAGCAAAGGACTCAGTATTCTGTCAAGGAATGTAAAAATACATTTTTCAAAGTTTGATTTCTGTATCAAATTGCCTCCTAACTGGTCTCAACCATGTAATCTTATATCTGTCCAATGTCTATTCCATTCTGCAATCAGATTGATCTATTCCAAAGGGTAATCCAGATGCCATCCTCCACCACCATTTAGATGCCTTTCCATATCTTTCCAAATAAAGATAAAACCCTTACCATGGATACCAAAGCCTGGCCAAGCTGATTCCTGCCTTCCTCTGACCTCTCTTCATAGAATTTTTTCCCACATCAATAACTGCAGCCACCCTGGCCTTCTGTCACATCTTCGAAGAAGCCACGCAGCTCCTTGTCTCCAGGTCTTTGTTTATGCCATCTCCTCTGTTTGAAACATTTAGTGTCCTGCGTGGTTAACTTATATTCCTCCTTCAAACCTCAGCTCAGATGTCACTTCCTTGGTCAAATCTCTTCTTGCCCCAGAGAATGGACCAAGACTCCTCTAAATAACTACAATGCACTGAGGTCATTTTCTTTATACCACCTGTGCCCTGATTGAAATTCTGTATTTGTTTGACTATTTCATCTGTTTCCTCTTCTAGTTCAATTGCTTTCCATTATCCCTCCAAAGCTTAGCATTGTGCACAGCATGTAGTAGGCACTCTATAAATATATATTGAATGAATGAATAAATGAATGAGTGTGCTAGTACCTTACACTGTGTGTTCCCTTGTGGTTGCTATTAGGAACCAGATCTCAGCATTATACAAAAGGCAGGGGAGATAAGAGGGAGGGATAGTCAAGTGTCTCTCAAAATATTT